AGGACCAAGCATTGTTTCTGAGCAGAATGGCTTGGCCTATCTGTTTCTTTTGGGGTTTCTGACTGAAGTTGGGCAAAATGGTGCAACTTCATCCTTTTGTGTGACTTTGAGATAAGTTGAACATTGTTTTTAAGCAGAATGGTTCAGTCTCTTGTTTCAAAGCAGAATGGCCCAGTGCTATGTTTCTTGATTGTTTTTTGAAGGACCAAACATTGTTTCTGAGCAGAATGGGTTGGTCTACCTGTTTCTTTTGGAGTTTCTGACTGAAGCAGGGCAAAATGGTCCAACTTCATGCTTTTGTGTAACTTTGAGATAAGCTGAACATTGTTTCTAAGCGAAATGGTTCAGTCTCTTGTTTTATTTTGAGGGCGGAATTTGGCAAAAGGCTAAGCATTGTTTCTAAGCAGAATGGTTTAGCCTGAAACCACACACAGTGCAAATTGAGTTTACATTGGAAGTACTTTATGTATATTTGTATGTGAATAGGCAATTGGACCTTGTTTCTAAGCAGAATGGTTCAGCTTACGCCATATCACTAAGAAGAGAAGTAAAGTCAAGAATATAATTGGAAGTAAATTGGGCAGGTTGAGCATTGTTTCTAAGCAGAATGGTTCTGTCACATGCCCATATCAAAATAAAAGTTGGAGAATTATTAAACTTTGGATATTTAAACAGTTCAGAGCGACTAGGCATTGTTTCTAAGCAGAATGGTCTAGTCACATGCCCCAAAGAAGAAAGACTTAGTTGTGCAACCTGTTTGTGTATAACTTAAACCACCACTCCATCACCCCCTGTACTGTTCATTTTTTTTGTCGACAAGTACCGTACCAAAATCTACAGTGTTCAGGCGCGGGACAGGCTCGGCTAGCGAGGGCCTCTGGGCCACAAAAAGTCTTGGGTGGCGCTACCGGGTCTCTGGAAAGGGCGGTGCAGCTGCTGGTGGGAATTGTAATGGGCGGGCGGCACATGTGAAAACGCGCCGCCCGCCCATTTGAATCCCGGCCAGCACTGACCGAAAAAGGGAAGACACTGGCGGGAATTCAGCAGCGGGAAATTTGGAAAAAAAAAATTCGAGAACTGAAGTCTTCACGCGAGGGCACCCATACATACCGACCATCACGCGGCGCCCACCCTCTCCACCATCTCGGACAGGAGCCAGAACATGGGGAAGAGGGCGAGCATCTCCATCGGCCAGAGGTAGTGCTTTGGCGGCGAAGCGTGATTTTGTGTGTGTGTGTGTGTGTGTGTGTGTGTGTGTGTGTGTGTGTGTGTGTGTGTGAGAGAGAGAGAGAGAGAGAGAGAGAGAGAGAGAGAGAGAGAGTTGTCCGCCTTTGTGCACGTCGCGGCTTCGGGCGATAATTCGAGGTTGGAGGCAGGTGGTGTGTGTGGACGCTACGAGAGGCGGGCCGCAACTGTCCTCATCGAGCAGGCGGAATCTGTTGGAATCTGTCGACATCAAGCGGCATCTTCTGTCATCGGGCCGTGGTTCGCGCGTGAGAGAGAGAGAGAGAGAGAGACAGAGAGAGTTGTCGCAACGCCTGGACGAACCTCGCAGGGAATTCGGTCAGGTTCATCCCCGTTTACACACACACACACACACAGAGAGAGAAAGAGAGATTTGCAGCAACCCCTGGACGAACCTAACGGGCATTTCAGTCAGGTTCATCCCCGTTCAAACACACACAGAGAAAGAGAGAGAGACAGACAGACAGACTGTCGGCTTTGTGCGCAGAGAGAGAGAGAGAGAGAGAGGGACCATTATTTTTTTTTTTTTTCCGTGTCTTTTTCCACGACGACCCTGGCTTCCTTTTCCCGCCAGGTTCATCCCCACGTTCTGTGTGTGTGTGTGCGTGTGTTTGTGTGTGTTTGTGTCTGTGTGTGTGTGTGTGTGAGAGAGAGAGAGTGAGAAACGTGAGGAACCTATATATATATATCGTCACAAACAGAATTGCCCGGTAAACCGTAGGCAGAGAGAGAGAAGAGGACAACAAACGAGGGGCATATATATTTTCTCTTTTTCCTTTCGCGCACACCCCTGCCGTCCTTTTTCCGCCAGGTTCATGTGTGTGTGTGTGTGTGTGTGTGTGTGTGTGTGTGTGTGTGTGTGTGTGTGTGTGTGTGTGACTTTCGCTATACACTCAAAAAGAGCATGACTGTGCCAGACTGTTTCGTAGGACTTTCACTGACTCATCAGGAGGTGAACCCCGACTGTCTGCCCACGATGCTACTGGCTGATGGATAACGACTCGCCACATTGCCCAGAGTTAGCGATACCCCTGAGAAAAGTGGTCAGACTTTCGCCGACTCGTGTGTGTGTGTGTGTGTGTGTGTGTGCATGTGTGTGTGAGAGAGAGAGAGAGAGAGAGAGAGAGAGGCCATTGACGAAGCCGGGGTACGGTGGTGGGTGGGGTGGAGGGGGGGAAGGGATCTGCCAGCCGAACGCGCGGTTATCCAGGCCTGTCTCAGGCCGACCCGCCCACCCCTCCGCCTCCCCGCAGCACCTTCGACAGTCGGGGGGAGGGGGGGGGGTCGGGGGTTGTCGATTGGTCCTTTTTTATTTTTTAATTTTTAATTGATAATCTGCATGCCATCGATTGATCGACTGATTGATTGAGTGATCAAATCGGGCATGATTGGGGAAAAAAAGCGAAATCAAAAATACAAAACCAGCACGCACAGGCCTAATATGGGTGCGTTCTTTCTGTGATGATCTATAAGTCGGTGTGTGTGTGTGTGTGTGTGT